AAAAAAAAAAAAAAGATAACAGGGCTGGGAAGGTGGCTCAGTGGTAGAGCGCTTGCCTTGCATGCATGAGGCCCTGGATTCGATTGCTCAGCACCACATAAGCAGAAAAAAAAAAAAGCTGGAAGTGGTGCTGTGGCTCAAGTGGTAGAGCTCTAGCCTTGAGGTGAAGAGCTGAGGGATAGCGCCCAAGCCCAGAGTTCAGGCCCCACGACTGGACAAAAAAAAAACAAAAAGAAGAAGATAATAACAATTTTGGTGAGGATGTGAAGAAATTTGAATCCTCATATATTGCTGGCAGAAACCAGTCCCCTTCCTGGGGTGCCAGTGGATCATGCCTAATCCTAGCTAGGGCTGAGATGTGAGGATCAAGGTTCAATGCAGAAAAGCCTAAGACTCCTATCTCCAATTAACTACCAAAAACAGTCGGAAATAGAGCTGTGGCTTAAAGTGGTAGAGCACTAGCCTTACGCACAAAAGCTCAGGGAAAGAGTCTTGGCTCTGAGTTCAAGCCCCAGGACTGGCACAAAAAAAAAAAAAAGAAACCACTTTGGAAAAGTCTGACAGTTCTTCAAAAGGAACATTCAATTTTCACTCAATCCATCAAGCCTATTCTAGGTATATACCCAAAAAACATGAAAAGACATCCACAAAAATGTTTGTGCACATATATTCACAACAGCATTAGTATGTATCATGGTCATAAATTGTGGTATAGCCACATGGCAATTAATGTGGTATAGCTCAGTAATAAGGAGGAATGAAGTACTAACAACTGGTACAAAGTGGATAAAGCCGACACACACTATGTAAAAGAAGCCAGTCAAGCTGTGAGATGGTGGCTCACACCTCTAATCCTAACTACTCATGAGGCCGAGATCTGAGGATCAATGTTCAAAGCCAGCCCAGGCAGGAAAGGCTATGAAACTCTTATCTCCAATAAACTAACAGATAACCACAAGTGGCGCTGTGGCTCAAGTGGTAGGTAGAGCACTAGCCTTGAACTGAAGAGCTGAAGGACAACACTCAGGAGTGAGCCACCAGTACCTGACTACTTGACTTAATCTTGAAATAAACATCATCATCAAGGTCTTTAAATTTCTACTACTATATACCTTAAATGTTATTCCCTTCATGAGAGAAAAAGAAAAGTCACTATACCCCAAATCTGTAAGAGGTAGTTAATAAATGTCCCTTTGAAAGAAAAAGAAAAGTCACCTACCCAATATCTGTAAGGGGTGGTTTATCTCTCCCTCTCTTGTAACACAGGAAAACTTCTGGGCTTTTCAGACTTCCATAATTCAAGTTTGCTTGGAGCGCTGACGGAGTGGCTTCAACACAGGTGTAGCCTTCAGGTACTGTTTCCCCAGCTGATTTGTTAATAACAGCAATATCTGTAATTGGAGCCTTAGGTCCAGTTGACTTAGTATCTAAACGATTTATTTCTTGATCCAAAAGAGTAGATGTATCTGTGAGACCTGCCACAACAAAGTAGTCTGTAACTCTTGGACCTTTGTCTTCTATCATGGCTGCTGTTCACTTTCCTAAAGAGGAAAAAAGGGGGGGGGGCAAGGGGAACATTAACTAAGGAAAGTATTTTATCATGGTTCACTACAAGTAAAACAAGTCCTTGAGTTAGTAATAGTCAATTAGAATATTCTTCAGACTTAAAATCAAATTGTCATTCTACACTCTTGCTATTATCATTTTAACAGTTTTTGCCTACAGTGTCTTTTTCCAACAATGTGTCATATAGCACATAACAATAATCACTTATTTAATTTTCCCTCAGATTTCTACAGAAATACAGAAACATATGAAACAGGAGCCAGGTACTGGTAGATTACACCTGCAATTCTAGCTACTCAGGAGGCTGAGATCTGAGGATCAAAGTTCAAAGCCAGCCTGGAGAAAGAAGTCCCTGTGACTCTTACCTCCAATTAATTAACCACTAGAAAGACAGAAGTGGCATTGTGGCTCAAAGTGGTAGAGTGCTAGCCTTGAGCAGGCAACACCCAAGCCCTAGGACAGCACCCAAGTCCTGAGTTCAAGCCTTACAACTGACAAGGAAGGGAGGGAGGGAGGGAAAGGAAGGGAAGGGAAAGGAGGGGAGGGGAGGAGAAAAGAAGAGAGGAGAGGAGAGGGAGGAGAGGGGTGGAGAAAGGGAAGGGAGGCTAGGGAGGGAAGGGAGGGATGGAGGAAGACAAGACACTATGATTTCTACAAAAGCTAACAGTTCCAAGCACTGATGGCGCACGCCTGTAATTCCAGCTACTCTGGAGGCTGAAAGCCCATGAGACTCTTATCTCCAATAAACCACTCAGAAAACTGGCAGTGGGCAAGTGGTAGAGCTTGAGCCTTGAGCTGAAGAGTTCAGAGACACCACCCAGGCCCAGAGTTCAACTGACCAAAAAAAAAAAAAAAAAGATAGTGACATGGATGAAATCTCAGATGAATAACTGGATAAATTCTAATAATTACAAATAAATAACTGAATGAAACAAGGAGATAAAAGAGGAATTCAACAAAGATATACAAATTCTGAAAAAAAAATGGCACTGAAATTCTGGAAATGAAAAGCTCAATAGATCTAAAAAGAATATGATAAAAAAAAAAAAAAAAAACCTAGCCAGCAGGCTAGGTTAAGGAAAAAAAAAAAAAAACAGAGCCAGGACGGGTGGCTCACACCTGTAATCGTAGCTACTTGGGACTCTGAGATCTGAGGATCACGGTTCAAAGCCAGCCCAGGCAGAAAAGTCCCTGAGACTCTTATCTCCAATAAACCACCAGAAAACCGGAAGTGGTGCTGTGGCTCAGATGGTAGAGCACTCGCTTTGAGCTGAAGAGCTGAGGGACAACTCCCAGGCCCAGAGTTCAAGCCCCACAATCGACAAGAAAAGAAAAGAGAAAGAAAGAAACAGTATTAGGGTTTAAAAACAAGGGGGACAGGCTGGGATGTGGATTAGTGGTAAAGTACTTGCCTAGCATGCATTAAGCCCTGGGTTTAATTTCTCAGTACCACACAAATAGAAAAAGCCAGAAGTGGTGATGTGGCTCAAATGGTAAAGTCCTAGCCTTGAGCAAAAGAAGCTCAGCGACAGTGACCAGGCCCTGAGTTCAAGCTACCGGACTGGTTAAAAACTAAGCAAAAAAGGGGCCAAGCCGGCCATCAGTGGTGCACGTCTGTAACCCTAGCTACTCAGAAGGATGAGATCTGAGGATTGTGCTTCAAAGCCAGCCTGGGCAGAAAAGAACCCAAGACGCTTATCTCCAATAAACCACTCAGAAAAAGCCCAAAGTGGTGCCGTGGCTCAAGTGGTAGAGCATTAGCCTTGAGCACAAAGAGACTTGAAGACAGTGCCAAGCCATGAGTTAAAACCCCAGAACTAGCCAGGTACAGGTGGCTCACACCTGTAATTTCTAGCTACTCAGGAGGCTGAGATCTGATAGTGGTTCAAAGCCAGCCCAGGCAGGAAAGTCCATAAGACTCTAATCTCCAATAAACCACTCAGAAAACCAGACGTGGCGCTATGGCTCAAGTGGTACAGCACTAGCCTTGAGCTGAAGAGCTGAGAGACAGCGTTCAGGCCCAGAGTTCAAGTCCCATGACCAACAACAACAACAACAACAAAAAACCCAAATGGGACAAATAATTACTCTCTGGTATGTACAAAACCTCTGGGACACCATTACAAAAACCAAACCTGGAAAACACAGGCATAGAAGAAGAAGATTTTCAAGCTAAAGTTAGAAAATACGTTCAAGGGGCTGGGAAGGTGGGTCAGTGGTAGAGCGCCTGCCTTGCATGCATGAGGCCCTGGGTTCGATTCCTCAGCACCACATAAGCAAAAAAGAAAAAAGCCGGAAGTGGCGCTGTGACTCAAGTGGTAGAGTGCTAGCCTTGAGCTGAAGAGGGACAGCGCCCAGGCCCAGAGTTCAGGCCCCATGACCAGACCCCCCCCAAAAAAAATATGTTCAATAAAATAATGCTAGAAAATTCCCCATCCCCAAATTTCTATGTACAATAGGCTTTTAGTATACCAGACAAGACCAGAAAAAAAGCACTCCCTACATATCATAGCATACTTACAGCAGCAAGTATTCTGAACAAGGAAAAGAATATTTGCAAGAACAAGGCACCAAGTCACATATAAAGGTAAACTATCCAGAATTATAACAAATTTCTCAATAGAAACTGTAAAGGCAAGTAAAGCATGGAATAAGGTACTTCAAGCTCTAAAAGAAAATAACTGGGAACCTGGGTTACCAAATACAGCAAAGCTATGCTTCTCGATTATAAAGAATAAAAACCTTCCATGATAAACAAAAACTTAACCACCACTAAGCCAGCACTGCAAAAGGTACTTAACAGTATCCTAAAAAGAGAAAAGAAGGATAAACACAACCATAACAATACAGAATCTCCATGGTAAGCAGATAAACAAAAGAATTACAACACAACCTTTCAATAATAATTCTAGGGCTGCGAGTGTGGTTCAGTGGTAAAGGGCTGGCCTAGCATGCTTGAAGCCCTGGGTTTGATTCCTCACTACCACATAAACAGAAAAAAGCCTGAAGCGCTGTGGCTCAAGGTGTAGAGCACTAGCCTTGAGCCGAAGAAGCTCAGAGGCAGTGCTCAGGCCCCATGACAGGCAAAAAAAACAAAACACTAATTCTATAAGCATCCATTATCCAGGCAAAGATAAAGGCTAACAGGAAGGGATTAAAAAACACATAGGTGAGTGAGGTGGTTCACACCTGCAATCCTACTTACTTGAGAGGCTGAAATTGGACTGAGGTTCCTGGATA